CAATCATGCCACGCTCAAAATTGCTTAAATCACCTTTCTTTCCCATTCTGACATTCAGTTTGGAGTTCAGGAGATTGTCTTAACCAGGACCACACCCCTAAATGCATTGAAGCAACTGCTATGTGACTGGTTGATTAGATAATTGCGTTAATGAGAAATTGAACAGGTGTTCCTAATAATCCTTTAGGTGAGTGTATAATCTGCATATATGAACACTTAGAAACAATATTTGCAGAACTAACTCTGTGTCTTAGGTAAGCATTTTTAAGCAGGGGTGTCAGTTCCTTCAGGAATGGCTAAGTTAATCAAGTCTGTATATATTAGCCTGCAAAAATTACATTTAATGTGGCTTTTATCACTTTGCAGTATTTCACTGGCAGGCCACCATCATGGGACCGGTAGGTGGGCTCCCTACTCGCCATGGCAACCTGATTTAACATATTTCAGTACCGTTCACCTCATCCCTGGTGGACTGACCCCTCTCTCTCTCTCTCTCTCTCTCTCTCTCTCTCTCGTCTCATTGCCAGAATGACAGTCCCTTCCAGGGTGGTGTCTTCTTCCTGACTATACACTTTCCCACGGATTACCCTTTTAAACCACCCAAGGTGAGTAGGGGGTGGGGGGTTATGCTGTGTTCCATTTACCTCCGAGGTCGAAAGTCGGAGCTGGGAATGACATCATACACATGAGTTAACTACATTCCAGTACAGCAAGGCCATTAAGCAATACCAGGGACCTGTTTCAAACAACAGGATTTCTCGCTTAGCCAGACAACTTTAAGATTTAAGGTTCCCCAGTTTAAATGGCCTTTGTCTTCATTCACTTACATTTAGCTTAGACTGCCTTAAATCCGACAAGTTATCCAGCTAGGCAAGAAATCCTGCTTTGTGAAAGACCCCAGTTCTAGTCAGGTTCATTGTTAGCCGTTGTTAGCAATAGCTGTTGATAACTACACATTATACGGTATTTTACACATAAAAACATAGTAACAAAATGTCCATAGATAGCGGTTGGACACACAAATAAGATGAAACAGTATAAAACTACAGTTTTCACTTCTGTTGAATGGCACAGTCATCTAGAATTCTGAGGTTGGGGTGTCAAAGGTTCCCCCGTCTTCCCAAGTCCGAACTCCGGCTTCAGGGAGTGTTCCAGTTGAAATTCCCAACGAGGAATAGGAAATTCCGATTCCAAACGCCCACTAGGCCCCAGCTGATGTGCCCTGTCCTGGCATGTATGTTTGAGGTGATATTCATGACTGAGATGCAGAAAATGGTGAGAAGTGCCCTAGAGAACAATGACTAGAGGTGTGAATAAGAATTTCTGACACGTCAGAGTCACTTGAGTGCTATGGAAGTTCTACTGAGAAATTTTTCACTTTGAAATGTGAATCAACTGAACATGATTTAATATACATTTAATAATTATAATATAGATTAAATATAGATTACAAATATCTTTTTTTATTTAAAAAATATAAAAATAATCCTTTTATGTTTTATTTTATTTGTGTATCCCTTTGGGTTTGTATTATAGTTGTTGAGTTCCATGTCACCTCACAGGATGATGGTCAGATGACCATGTTGTCCCTAATTCACAAGCCATACCTCAGCTGAAGTAAGACGAGTGTAAAGAGGCCACGTCTCTACTAAGCTATGAGTGTGTCCTGTTAACCAGGCCATTTAGTCATACCTTAGTAGTCCGTCCATTTTCTGTCCAGGTGGCCTTCACCACTAAGATCTTCCACCCCAACATCAACAGCAATGGCAGTATTTGTCTGGATATCTTGCGGTCCCAGTGGTCCCCAGCCCTCACGGTCTCCAAAGGTAAGACCCAGTCGCTGCTCCCAGTCTTGGAGGTCAGTGTTCATGCCAAGCCACCCTCAGTTTGGACCTGTACTTTGGTCTGATGCAGTCCTGCTGTCAATCTGCTCGCTGCTGTGTGACCCAAACCCTGACGACCCACTGGTGCCAGAGATCGCCCACACCTACAAGGCAGACAGAGAGAAGTGAGCGACGTCCTGCTGTCCGCTCTGGCTCGTTCACCTGTCCCCATGCTCAGTGACCTCTCCAGGGCTAGGTGACATGACATTCCCCTCATCGAGTTTTCCCACAGAATGCGTATAACGTGCAAGTCCATGTGTCTCGAATTCAGCATATGACTTGAATTTAGGTCTATGAAGCATTTGAACCTGTGACCTTCTGGATAAATGCTGGTTTCTCTGCTCTCAGCCCGGTTGTTGGACATTGTTGGGTTGGGAGTAGAGCAGTAGTTGCAGAAGAAAGGGAAATGGGGGAAGTCCACAAATTATTACTTTGTGGTTCTCATACAGTCGGAGTACATTTACTGTTTATGTTATTTGACTTATTTTGTTTATTTTTATTATTAGGCTCTTGTCCAGAGCAAGTTAGAATCAAAGAAAAATTAAAAGGTGAAATGTCTGCTTTGATTTTTATGGTGGGATTATGGCTAGAATGGTGTTGTGTGGCCTCTTAACCCCTTTGGTGTTTGAGGTCAGTAACATAGAATGACCATTGTGTCCCTTTCAGGTACAACCGACTGGCTATGGAATGGACACAGAAGTATGCCATGTGAGGAAGGGACCTGGTGTCAATGAACTGAAGAGCTGGGAATACAAAACATTTTAACTGTGAACACTGGCAGACGGAACCGACAGACTGAGCTGTTGGGGTCCGGAGTGAAAATGCTGGACCAGCCATGTTCTGTAGGGGGTGTTCCCCCCCCAATACACCCTCCAGTGCATCTTATTGGCTGACACTCACAGGTCTGCCATGTGAGGACAGCAGGACACCTTGCCAAAGTGCAGCATGACCTTTGACCTCCTGTGAGTGCCATGGGATACCCTCCGTAGAGATGCAATTGGCTCTATGATTGTTATCTTCATTATAAATATTTATTTAAATAGAGAAGCTGTGATTATGTTTGTGATGAGTTATTTTCTGCAATGGTCACCAGACTCTCAGTGCTTTCACACATTAGCTGTAACTATGTGTGTGTTACGACATGGCTGTGAATGTGTGTGTGTTACTACGTGGCTATTAATATGTGTGTGTGTTACTACGTGGCTATTAATATGTGTGTGTGTTACTACATGGCTGTTATGCGTGTGTGTTACCACATGGATG